GGCAGATCCTGGCCAGGCGGGTTCCCTGAGCGCCTGTGTGGCACTTAATAGGCTGCTATGCAGCTGCGCAGCTTACAGGGAACTTAGTACCGCATGGCTATTAAATAGTTTCAGCAAAGCAAAAGGCTTTACTTTGCCATAACTGCAGTCCTCTGTTAAATCACTAGTGAAGGGGTGATTGCCTTGTTCCAGATACACAAGGCTACCATTCAGCCTTGCACTTCTCTCATGAACTGATAAGCAGAACAGGATCAACTATTTCAAAACAAGTTTTTCATCCAAAACTGGCTTTTGAAATGGACTTTTTGCAAAAAAAAATTGGCAATACTGTCAATGTTTTCGTTTTTCATGAAAAAAAAAAAATGTAGTTTGATATTTTTCAAAATCAAACTATCAAAATTATTAAATAAAAACTGGTAGTTATTCCAAGGTTTTAAATAACATTTTTGAAAAAATATTAGAAAGTACACAAAAAGTGTGCCCACTTAATGGATTTTAAAACCAAAAGAGACCATTACGATAATCTAATCTGACCTGCATAAAACATGCCACAGAACCATGCCAATTAATTCTGCATGACAGCCATAACTTCTGTTTAAGCTATGGATAGCTAGAGAGATTCTAGTCTTGATTTAAAGATGTCAAGTGATGACAAATCCATCACATCCCTAGGTAAGTTGTTAGAATTGTTAATTATCCTCACTGTTAAAAATGCGGGATCTTGTCTGAATTTGTCTAGTGCCCATTTCCAACCACTGGGTTTTGTTATGCCTTTTTCCACCAGATTAAAGAGTCATCTACTATCAAATCTCTTCTCCATGTAGCACTTTTGGTGCTTCGACACTACGATGACTGTGTCATACAAGTACCGGAACAGATACAAGTACGGCTCTGCGAAGACACATCAGATAGAGAGCTCTGCATTGTGCATTTACTTTCAAAATTTAGTAACTGTGAATGACATGCTGAAATGCAAACAAACTGCTGGAAACACTATACTCCATGGCAGGAGCAGTGGCTTTTGTACTTACGCTTCACCAGCATTCCCTGCTCCAGGGAATTTTGGTTGTACGCACAGCAATTTATGTCCTGTAGTCGATGTTTGAAAGTCGCTTTCTCCTTCATACTGCTTCCAATCCTCCATTCCACTCACATCCATGCTCTTACACTTGCCCTGTAGTTTGCCTTTTGTATGTAGGCCAGCAGCAAGATTAATATATTCTGGGGTAAAGCGAGGCATATCCTTAAAGTCTTCCACACTGATCTGAACAATGTGACTGGGTGCCAGCAGTCGAATGATATCTATCAGAAGCAGCAATCCAACACCTTTGGGAATGGGGGGAGGGAGAGAGAACACACAGTTTGCAGAAGGTAGTGCAGTCACACCAGGTAAGCATCTTGCAGATCTGAACCTTGGTTATTAGAGACTCAGGAGTGTCTCTCAATGGTTGTTAGAGATGTACAATAAACTCACACAGAATTAGTGTCATATTTCCCAGTCTCAGAATAGTTACAAAATGTGTATCATGGCATGTATACTGTTAAGATATAGCATTAATCTTCTAATGCATCTCCAAAGATTAGATGTATGCTGGTTTACCTTTCACCCATCCCATTGTATTGATGACCAAAGGCACTTCTTTCTTGTAGGAGTTAAACACATACTTCACTGTGTCGATATATCTTTCTGTATCCTGATCACAACTAGCTTCTCCATAGTACACCATTTTACGTGGCATTCGCTGATGAGTGAATGGTGGACCTGAAAAAAGACACACTGAAGATTAATAGTAAATACTTGGGAGTTTCAGTAATTCAAAGAAAGCGGCCATAAAGAGTTAGCAAAACCCCCAAAACTCCTGAAGCACACATGCTCAATCCCTTTCTGTACTGATGGAAGTTATTCTTCCTCAGTTTGTATCCAGTTGTTTCACCTTTTTTGGAAAGGCTTGTACTTTAAGATTTTCTCCACTTGCTCCAATGAACCCTTCCTCTGCCCTGCAGACCATTTCCTTTCAATTCTGAGTATACAGTCAAGGCCAGTCAGTCTCAATGTCTGAGTGTCAGAAACCTGATAAATCCACTAATGTGGTATGGAACTATACAATTCTTAAACGTATGAGTTTATCAATTTATTTAGATTAACTACTGTTCTAGAAGACAATTTGAGCAGGGTAGCAGTTTTTGGTCAGGAAGTAAAAAAGGAACACTAAATTGGAATAACAAAAGGACTGTGTGCATTACAATTTAGTAGTGTAAATACATTAGTTTTTTCCCTCCATGATGACAGAGCAGCCCAAGGCAAACAGCTGATCCAAAAACTAGACCACACCATTTGGTGGCTGGGAACCTCTTTGGAAACACCCAAGGCCGTATCTACTAACAGGTTTTCTACTTATGATTTTTCAAAACTTACAATATTCTTCCCTCTTTTTCCCATCCCAAGCGTAACAAATTTACAATTTAAAACCAGGGTGAGAAGTTAAAAAAAAAAAAAGTTTCAAACACAAGCCCCAGTAAGTTCTAGGGCCTTTTACCTTTAAAAACACATACTTCTTTGACCCACATCTCTATCTGCATATCTCAAAAACATTAATAAACTTATCCTAAAGTTTCAGTGAGGTATGCAAGTATTATTCCCACTTTCACAGATGGAGAACTGAAGCAGAGAGATTAAATGATTTGCCCAAGGTGTCACATGAAGTCTGTGGCACAGAGGGAAAACTAACTCAGGTCTGCTATATCCCAGGCCAACAGCATATAGAAAAGATCACCCGCGCTACCCACTCCCATAAAATATGTAAAAACCAAGAAGGGAGAATAACTTGCCTGGTAGTTCTGATTTCCTAGAGATAGCACCTTGGAGGATTTCACTCCCGGGTCTTAGCTCCTTACCACAAGATTGGCAGGCCTCCTTCACTTACAATGTTTTTTGAACTGTGAGTAGAGTTAATATGGTTCTGTTAAGACACAGGAGTGAGAATCCTGCACAGTACCTTTAGAGAATAAATATATTTGTATATTTCTGGTGATGAGAATATAGCAAAATACATACCAAGACACGGCTCTGACACATTAATTAAGGAGACACATCCAGGTGGTGTAAACTCTGTCTGTCCCAGATCACATTCCAAATATTCAACACAAGGAAGGCTACAATAAAAGAATAAAGATATTTTAAGATGCACTGCATATTAGCATGTGTAAATAAAACAGAACAACATTTCACTTAGCATATAGCCGGAAAAGAATCCAATTCTGACAGCCTTAAACGCAATGAGAATCTCAGACACTGAATAAGATCACTAGCTTTCTGCCTCCTCTCTCTATTTGACAGACTGTAATGGTCAGGCAATGACAAACTGTAACTAGGGCTCCGTGTGTGTCACGGAGGTCGCGGAAGTCACAGATTCCATTACTTTCTGCAACCTCTGTGACTTCTGCAGCGTCTGGCATGTGCTGGGGGGCCCTGGGGACAGCCACACCAGCCACTGCTCGGGCAGCTCCCGGCAGCAGCTGCAGTCCGCTGGCCCCAGGCACCCCTAGATGTTCCCCATCCTTCCCCCTGAACAGCCGCCCCCCCAGTTTTAGTCACAGGTATAAGTCATGGACAGGTCACAGGCTGTGAATAATTGTTGATTGCCTGTGACCTGTCCATGACTTTTACTAAAACTATCTTTGTAGTTTTAACTATAACCAACTACAACACTAGGCAGAATGCATGGTCTGGACCAATGACAGCCCAATACCATTCCAGTCTTGAGCAGAGAGACTGCCAATCAATGCCAAATTGCACAAGTGGTACACACAGATGGGGACTGCCAATAAACAATTTTTGCTTCATGTTAATTTTCAAAAATATCCAAATCCCCAGTCATTATTTATAAATAATCCTATCAATTTTTCTTGCCCAGATCATAGAAGATTTGAAAATTTGAGTCTTATAGGATTAAAAAAAAAAACTCACTGATTCAGCAACAGGTTAATGAGATATCTGTTAAATGTTGATTTTCCAATACTTTTTGGGCCACACACCAGAATGACAGGACAACCATCATCTTCCTCTGGAAAAACAAACATACCCTGAAATGGACCATTACTATAAATTAATCTCATGCATCCTACTCCACAAAAGTTGACAAAAATTTAATCTCAAGAGCGGAGCATTTTCATTGAAAGATCAGTTTACATAACATGGGCTTATATTTGCACTTTGGAACCAGAACAAGATAGTTTTGTTTAAAGGTGAGGAGGGTATTTACATTTATAAGCACAAACTAAAAAGCCTTCTAAGAGGGTAGACTCCAACACCTGGGCACAAAATCAGCCTTGCAAAATTCTACTTGCCTATGGGAAATTATTTTGGGGCGTGGATGGACAAAAACGGATTTCTCCCCCACCAAATCATCATAAAGGCACATTAGTTTTGGTGGCAGATCAGCAAGGCAGCAAAAAGCCTTATGGGTCATATAAACACTCCCTCCTCCCCCTCTAAGTACCTCAAAATGAGGTAACTCACACTCCGTTTGGTTCAGAAACTCTCCAAGGCTTGAAATCTGACCCAACCTTTTCACTATAGTCAGGGCATGGTTTCACAAGGATGAACTTAAGAAACAAACTCTGAGAAAGGAGCTTTTGCTCCCTTTAGATCACTGCAAAATGTAACATATTCAGTTCCATCAATTTAAGATACTCACCACAACACGCTTGTATTAACTCTTCAATTGCTGAAACTGAACTCTCCGACAAAAGCAGGCCACTTTCAGGATCACGTTTCCCAATACCAGTAGAAGCTAGAGCTGCATCTTCTGGTGTGAAGCAAGAACCCCTTTGTATCTACAGATCAGCAAGCAAATAGCAGAGAAAGGTTTTAGCAAATTCATAACACACCACATACAAAACAACTCCAGAATAACTCCTATTGTCTTATTTGACTGGACAGTGGTACCAGCACAGAATGATTTAGTCACATTAATTGTCTTCTCTGTTCTAGTTCTACAGAAGTCTTAAGTCCAGGTGATAGGAAGGAAGTGCTAGGAACAAGGTCTCATCTTCACTGATGTTCTAACCCCTACTTACTACAGCAAATGGCACCTTATAAATACCACAGACAGATGTGTCTAAAATGGGGAGAATGATACCTCCTTTATAAAGCACTTGAAGATCTACTGATGAAAAGCTCTATAAGAGCTAGGTATTATTATATACAGGTCTACAGCATGCAGACCATTGTAATCCATGGGAAACCAGCCTTATAATTCAAAGGCCTGGCAGCACACCCGAAAGTCACATGACAGACATAGGAAGAGGACATGATTGGAACATGAAACAAAGTGCTCTGGAAACAATAATGGGGCTGGGCCAGTCAAGTGGAGCTGCCACCAACTGCAGACAGAACAGGAAACACCAGAGGGCTGGGGAGTGTGGGGAGAAACGTATGGGAAGACAGTAGCAAGAAAGTGACTGCAACAAAGGACTAAGAAGGATAAGTAGTAAAAGAGGGAGTGAAGTTCTGGCAAAGGATAGATCCATGCATCATATATATATAAAAGAATGAATTACAACTAATTTATACGGTTATAATTCCATCACTGATTCAGTAACAGGCTAATGAAATATCAATAAATGTTGACTTTTAATGACTACATACATGATTCAAGCTTTGGTCTTATAGTAAATAACTAGAATACCTCTATGGAACTGTACCCCCTTACTTCACAATTCCTGGAAACTAGTCTGAATTTTATACACATGACACATGCTGTTTTTCTGACCCACATTTTTATTGCTCCATACACAATTGATCTTCTCCTGAAGCCATGCAAATTTTTCTTCCTCATAAAACAATTCCCATAGGGTAAGATTGAACAAATGCAAGATTTCCATTAAGTAACGAAATGGAAGATGCATTTCACCTTTACTCTGAAGATATGGGAGAACTCTGGGTGATTAAGAATGAATCTTGTAACCGAGGTATCCAGACCATCCAACAGCACCACAGAACACAAAGGGGCAAAATTTTTCATCAGTTTTATTCTAGCATCTGCAAGATGACAACAGTTAGTCTTAAAACACTATATTTCACACAAAGTAGAATTCAAGTCCAAAACTGATACAATGAACAAATACTTTTTACATTATCTGACCTTCTTAATACCTGTGAGGTAGGTATCACCTCCATTTGACAAATGTGGAAAGAGAAGCAAACCTCTTATGTGATTTGCCAAGAAGTCAGTGATGTGCAGAATTAGAATTCATGAGTTCCTATTTTCCAGTCCTGTACTTGAAGAAATAAAACTACAGAGCTCCATGGAAAATGAGGAAATATATTAGTACCCTAAAGCAAGGCAATAAACAACACTCAGTCATTTTCATTGCCATGAAAAAGTTATAAAGGCGATCTTGACAGTTTGCCAGTGACTACGTTTACAACTATAGACCAAATATTTGTGCGTGTGAATGTAGTGTGGGAAAGATGATGGCTGGATGGCCCTAAAGACTGTAGTACCCACTGGACAGACACAGCATGAAACACACCTCTTCCCTTAGTCCAGGTGAGCTATTAGGATCACCTAGTCTGACCTCTTATATAAAACAGGCCCTAGAACTTCAACCAGTGATTCCTGCTTCTAGCTCAACAACTTGTGATTGAATAAAGCACATCTTTTAGAAAATCATCCAGTCTTGATTGAAGAACTGCCAGCAATAGAAAATTTACTACAGCATTTGGTAATCTGTACCAATGGTTAACTACCCTCACTGTTAAAAATTTGATTCTAATGGGAAGTTATTCTGCTTTGCCTCTAGAGAAACAGCCAGAAAAGGCATCAACAGCAATAGTGGTGATGAGGACATGTAGCTAGACTGGGACCACCCTACGTCATTTCACAGAGGCCACTGAATAATGTCAGGTGAAGATTACTTTTGATCACAACTCTAGTCTGCATTCAGAATGGTGACACAAAGATAAAAGGCTTATCTCACTACAAGGTCTCTGGAATTCTTCAGTCTGCCCCAAAGCAATTGGTTAAGGGTAGCCCTGCATGTAACCAGCCCTAATGTCTCTTTACACCCCTAAATAGCAGACTCCCCACCAAAGCACACTGCTCAGCCCATGCTTACCACGTGGCACATGATGGGCTCTGAGCATCGCCCTGGCTGATATCCTCATCTCCTTCTTGGATTTCTCCAGCGTCTCGTAGGACACTGCTTCGATGGTCAGGGCACAGTGGGTCTGAGGGGAGAAGAGGTCGTAGGAAGGCTGCTCCTGAGTGATGGTAAATCCAAACACTTGGACTGCACCATAGAGGCAGGTCAGGCGGCATTTCCCAGTGAAGGTCA